ATATATATATATATATATATATAGGCACCAAAACCTGGGAGTGAACCATGTAATATGTATTTTTAAAATTCTGTCTGTCTTGGTTACTTTTCTCTCATTGCTGGGACAAAATGCCTAACACCCAAAATTAAGGAAGGAAAGGTTTATTTAGCTTACAGTTTGTGGAGGTTTCAGTCCATACTTGGCCAATTACAAGGCAGACTGGCACATGGCAGAGAGCTACAGCTCATGGTGGCAGAACACAGCAAAAGCAACAGACACTAAAAGGGAGGAATGGCTGCAAGCAGCCTCTTCCTCTCCCTTACATATGCAAACTATCCACCCCAGGGTGGGTGTAGCTCTCACACCCATAATCAATCAAACTCTAAAAGCCTGCCCCATGACCACATTAGGCTTTCGGGGGACAACCAGACACAAACCATAACATTCCACCCCTGGCCCCCCAAAGACTCATGCCCATCCCTTTATACAAACAGCATTTAGTCCATCTGCAAGAGTTGCCAAAGTCCTAGCAGTTGCAGCATTGCTGAAGAGTCCAAGTCCCAAGTCTCCTCCAAGATGTAAGGCAAACTCTTAGCTGCGAGCCCCTGTACAAATGAAAAGTTAAACACTTCCAACACTCAGTGGCACAAAATAACATTACCATTCCAAAGGGTACAGATGGGGACACAGAACATTGGGACCAAAGCAAGTCCAAAATCCAACAGGGCTAACATTATGTCCTGTAGTTACACGATCAGCATCTGAAGCAGTCTGTGGCACATTGTGAGCTCCAAAGGGCTTGCATGAGTCCACCACTGTGGCAGTTCTGGTGGTTACAGCTTCCATGGCTCTCTCTTAGGCCCGCTTTGCTCCCTCCTTGCAGCTTTCCTTAGATGATCCACGGTCCTGGCTTTTCTAAACTTCTGAGGTCTCCAGGGCACCTTTTGCTTCACACTCACAGCTTCACACACTGCCCTTTCAGGGGCACACTTCCTGGCCTCCCAGGCTTTCTGAAATCTGGGTGGAAGCCTCTTAAACCTCAGAACTTGTGCATTTGCCATGCCCCTAAAGCCAGGGCCACGTGGATGATGCCAAGGTCTGCTGCCACCTGGAGCAGTAGCCGTTTTCCTCTCTCTTGGCCACAGGGGTCAAGTGCCTGGATTGCTGGGCACTCTGAATCCAATTCTGAGGAACAGATCCTCTATGCTGCCGCCATTCTGGAACATGGTGCTCTGAGGCTTCCTTCTCAAAGCAAGGTCTTTCACCTTCGCCGTTTTGAGGCTGCAAAGGGTGGAGACTTGCTGCTTGTGATGCCCTCAGGCCATCTTTTCTATTCTGTTCCTTCTCAGCAATAGAGTTCTCCTCAGCCTTATCTTTGCAGTCCATAGCATTACTGCAGCT